CAGACTGGCGTCGGCAGATGGGATCACCAGCTTTTTATAGTTTTTAATACGACACTCAAATGCCCCTACGCCAAGTTTTAAAAATTTGCATATATGCAGAAAGTTGTATAAATTGAAATGATTGTACCACTGCGTCTTTCTGTTTGAGAATTTCCAAAACTTTTAATCACTTCCCCTCTACTTTCTGGTAGAAGCAGACAGAGAAATTATGTACTTGCTAGCGCATAAAGTTTGTGTGCAGTACAAGTATCCTGGGCCTGCTTAGTTTAATACAGATCTGCGCAATTGCAAGCTTTGAAAGTAAGTGCTCACTCTTGCCTACTTTCCTACCAACCGTTTAAGCAATTGAAAAAAGCGAAAAAAAAAAAACGCTTTGTACAAGAGAGTGCCGGTTGCCTGTGAAAATGAGAATCACCTAGAATCAATATGCGCAGCTGCTAAACTGTTGTTCCGTCTTCCGTGAACATGATTTCTTCCCAAGAAATGCGCAAAAAGAAAATAACTTTCACCTTTGTACAAAGACTTTTGTTGACTATATAGACCAAAATTTCAAATTCAAGCTCAATTTTACATTGCACACATGGGCACCTTATTATAGTCTAAAAGCGGGAACGTTTGGAACAAAATGTTCCTTTTAAAATATGAAAGGTTGCAGCTGACGAAAGTGCATACACCTAAATACACATGGATACACACGTGCATACACCTAAATCACATTTTCATTGATCTGCTTTGTATACAGTTCTTGTTCACTGATCCGTTTGGTGATAATTAAATTAAGCCCAGAGCACTAGTTCTTGCATTATTAGCTCCAGAAGGCTGCAGGAGAATCGTAAGATGTTTATTGTGATTAATCATAATGTAGCACTGAGACTGAATAACAGTATTCAGCAGCCATTATAGATTGACAAAACGTTCAGAGTTGTAGATCTTTTTATTTTAATAAAACCGCAGAAAGTTGTAACGAACCGTAAAGAGGATCTGCCGATATGGACAGCCGATACAGCGGTGCCGGCGGCGGAACATCTAGTTCTGCTCTTTTGCTCAGCATCGCCCTGCATTTCTGACGTGTTAGGCATTCAGCAATATCTAGTAAAAAATAAATTTTTAAGACCTCGTTTGATTTACCGAATCAGACGCTGTTTCAAAACTAATAATGA